CCCATGACACGGAATCCGGAGCCCTCCTGGATTTCGAATTCGCCATGAAAAATTTTGCAAGGACTCTCGTGGATTCGGCCATATTGGACGGCAGAATGGAAAGGACAAGATTTTTGGGAAACATTCGAAATCAATAATTTGGATTCCGGATTCCTCTTACTTACTCCAAAGCCAAAGTTTTGTCGGATTCCGGCCTTCAGTTTCATGGAAGTTTCACTGTAATTGTTTTCGTTTCATGGATGTTTCCGATGTGTTTTCCGTTTCATGGATGTTTCACTGTAAATTTTTAAAAATGACACAAAACCCACCTGATCGCCAGTAGTAATCAATGGCATAATAACAGATCCCTCTTTATTCTTGAGAACAGGTACAAGACATCTAAAAATAGCACCAATGACTTTTGGGGGGCTATTAGCATTTGCCCCAAAACCTCCTTCAAAACACATAACTCGTCCAAAACTTAAGTGGTCTGGGAGAGGTTTAGACCACCAGCAGAAATACCGCTTTCTCAGGTCCTCCTCTTTGTCCTTTGAAAGATTTCTAACGCTTATGCCAAGCTGTATTTGTAGTTGACCAATCAGTGAAGAGGGTGTAGGAGAATAATCACCTGAATGGATTGAAAACAACTTCTCAATTTGCATGTAAATGTAAATATATAGATAAGTGCAATACACACGACACCCAAGCTCATAACTATAAGGGGTGTAGCGAAAAAATGGAAAGGAAAAAGGTCACAGTAAAAAGATAAAAAAATATTCAATAGTCCTCTGAAGCTTTTACGTCATGTACCGTATACGCAATGCATTGTAGGATATGTTTGGGACAGAACATGGCGGATTTCTTTTTTTTTCTCTAGTAACTGAACCCACAATGCATTGAAAGTCAATTATTGACGTAAAATGTTCARAGGTCAATTAGTCTTATTTTTTAGCCTAATGTTCTGCCAGTTTTGTAGGGGAGTATAAATATCGGGTATACATTGTATACGACAAATACAGTTCTGTGCGACGTACTCAAAAGAATTCAGTTTCAGATCAGATCGACCATGAGCCGGTGCCGAACTCCGAGACCCAACACCGACTGGGACGGAGCTTTCTCCTAAAATCCGACGCCTTGTGAGCCCTACCCTTTCGGAAAACCAACACCCGCGAGGCCCAATACTTCGAAATTGACTATATAAAGCAATAATGTCATTTTCCCGATCCAAATAGGTGAGCACTTTGTTTTCTGTAACTATGGCCTAGATCAGAAGTACATATATTAAACTTCTGGATAAATATGCCTTTGGTCACGACTGGTTGGCTCTGAAGTTGATGACGCACACTTGTCAAAGAATATGGTAATTTTACAGAGGCTCGACTACATATTTCTTTTACCATTAATTGAAAACGGGAAGAAAACAAACAAAAAACAAAACAAAACGAGCCGCTATGCAATTAATTGTCGGTTTTGTCAATTTTTTCCGCAAGTGTAAACATGCTGTGACGTCATAACTGGAGATACTATATATATTTATATTTGTTTTAGTTTTGTTTTGCTTTGTGTTTTTTTGTTTTGTTTTGCTTTGTTTTTAATTTTTCAATTTTGATTGCATCAGTGAATGGGCGATTGCAATTGTTATATATAAAAACTATAAATATGCATCCTCCAAAATTTTGTTTGCATAGGTCTGCATACATTGCCCGCTCCACATCACTTCAATTCAATAAGACTTAATTTTGATTGGCCGCAAAATCTATGTCACCCTTTAAACAAAACCTAGTTACAAATCTGAGACTGAGTCCACAGTCAATCATCACGACGATTTGACAACCAATTTTGAATATCGCCTGTGCATAGAGTAAAACATCTAATATAACATCAATACGTTAACATTTCTAGGTTGAAAGGACAAAAATCAACACCGGCARCAAGAATATTAAAGCACGTATTGAATCTGAATTAAGCTCCGTAATTGATTGATATATTGCACAATCAGTTATCCGCAGTTATCCTAAGTTTATTCAGATTTGAATTTCAAGCAATGGATCATTTTTAGCCGACTGGAACTGCTGTGCTGTTTGACCGGCAGAACTTAATTATTAAGTGAATTATCATATATACTCTCTTCAGTCACGGGCTTTGCAATAAAAACATAAACATTTTCCCGACTCAAAGTCCTCAAGAAGCCCAGTATTTTAACCATATTCTCGTGAAATACGAGAATGAAAACTGAATATTCAATTTCACTATCGACCAACCTGGAAAGGCAGAAACAACAAGTACATCGACTTTGTCCTCTCGTTGAAGTTTTGTGATGTCTCCAACACAAAGCTCGATTTGACAAGTACCAATATCACTCTTCAAGTGAAGAACATTTTGGGTTATCAGACCAGTGGCCATAATTAAACAAATTTGTACACTGAATACTACTCAAGTCAACTTTTTCCCGTTTGCAAGTGATGAGAAGGCACAGGGCGCCCGTGCTCAATATTTTTGATGAGTAACTTATTTGCATATTGTTGGCGAAGTTCTGTGGTGCGTGATAATTTGCATACGATATTCTTCAGTATTCAAAGAAAAGGCGTAAACGTATTATAAATTATGAATAAGGAATAAATTTAATTCGTATTTGAAATCCTAACCCTTAATTTCGACCTACAAGTACTTTTTACTTTTTTCTCCTGTAAGGAGAAGGAATTCCATTTCACTGCAATGTAAGTATTACAAAGTTTGCTCAAAATTAACTTGGTTGAAAGTCTGCTTTCACGGTGGCCTTAAACGGACGCAAAACAAAACGTTATCGTTACGTGTCTCTTAGGGATCGACTTTTAACGGCCGTCTTTATAAGATCGAGCTCAACAAAAACTATGTATTGCGCATGGTCATAATAGTGATCCCATATGGGTTAGTAATTAGCATCTCAATATAGATTGTCATTTCATCTGTTTATACATTTTTCCACTTCCAAATAAATTATATGGTTAATATTTTGTATAACTCTGGAATAWATTCAGTAACTAATAGTAAGTAGCTTAGAAACGTGAACATGCTCGGAATACACATTCGCCATAACCGCAAATTGAGATGTTATTCAGAGCACAGCGTTCTTGCTACGCTGGGGATTCTAATCTAATTTGATTCTTTTTAAACGTTATATGAATTAGAATGAGCTTTTACATGCATACATAATTGCCATTTGCCCTACAGCCGCCCACAATTAGTGCGACGGGCCACTTTGGACTGCCCCTTTGGTGTTGTTTTTTTTTTTTGGCTCCACTGCAATGGCGTATTTTTTTTTCTATCTAATATGAAGATTATTACTACAAATGTAGTGGTCTACACCCCAGAATGGGGATAAATACAGTCAAAAACGAAGCCTCCTGAATATGTCAATTTTGACCACCACAAACGTGACTGTTCAGCAGACTATTAAAAACGACATTTTCAAAATTCTAGTAGTAAAATAATGCAATCTTGGTCTGCACTGTAAATATACTCATAAAYAAACATACGTTTCTCTCGCGATAAATTATCCTCTATAAACTTCAAACTTGAATAAACTATAAAGTAAATAGCTATGCGATTAAATTACTTAAATATACATTGACCACAATACTTTATGAGTCACTAGGGGAATGGCGAGAGTTACAGTCATTTTCATCCGTCTGTGAAATAGGAATTGTACTATTAAATACTATTATCCCCTATTAGCTCCAAATAGAGTCATTTTCATCCGTCTGTGAAATAGGAATTGTACTATTAAATACTATTATCCCCTATTAGCTCCAAATAGTTCAACTTATGGCATGCGACAAACAAATTAGGCAAAAACGGTTTTGATTTTGCCTTTTGGTAGCCTACGTACTACACCCTAATAATTACTATTAAACACTGACTAGTAGTAATTGTTTCACAGACGGATGAAAATGACTCTATTTGTACATTTTGTATAGGCAAATGTTTGACATCTTCTTTTGGATTTCACTCTTTTAAAGGTTTTCCCACTCATGTGACCCACTATAGTTGCTTATGGAGTTTCATCTTGTTCAGTTGGAGTCTTCGCGTTTTCTACGTTTTGGCCGGTTCTATTTGTTGCTGAACCTCTYACCAAACGGGAACTTTCATGTCTTTCTTCTTTCACTTCAGTCGCTTGGTGGCTACCTTTCTCTTCAGYAACCTGGACACTGTACGGGATATCCACTTTGTTTGACAAGGCAAGGTTTTTGAATGCAGTCGTCGGAGGTTGTGACTCTTCAATGGCTGCCTGTACATCATTTCGATGCATCGTTTTGTGGGTTATAAGCAGTTGTCGATAAATAGTATCAGCTGTTTCTTTTAGCTTCGTCTCGTCATTTGGTCTGATTAAAAAAAATTAAAGACATTGTTAAATGACAGATTCAAAATTCGCAACAAAAGTCAACTATTAGTATTAAGCACGCGAATTCGCAATGCACTTGCATTTATCATAAAGTGCACTGCCAAAAGGGCATTCTTTGCGCTTAGCGGTATCGACATCGTAAGCGCGGCCTCACATACGTTTTCATTTTCATGTGAACTGGTGAAAACTAAGATGAGGTGGAGGTGTAGTAAGTGCAAAACTTAATATTTTTGTTGATATAGACAAAYATTGCCATGTGGTATTTTGTGTCACTTCCCATTAAGAATCAGCCAATTGAAACCCGCGGGGCGGGAGTCCAGGGGAATTCATAGCAGGAGATTTAACAGTGTTTTAACACTGGAGGGATAATATGGCTACGTTCACACGGCAGGCGCGTAGCGTCATTTACGCATATACGCACGTGCGTACTAGTGGCAAGGAAATATTACAAGGAAATATTATTATTATTATTTTCGGGATTTTTTTTACATAATTGTCTTTGCTTGTTTTCTCCAACCAAGACTTCGTTATCAAAAAGAACCTCAAAACGCTGGAAATCACATTTCAGAGAGTTATTATTTCAAAATTTCCTGGGGAGGACCCCCAGACCACCCTTGATACTCGCGCCTTCGGCGGTAGCTAGCTCCCCCAAACCATAATATGTGTCGCGCTCTGGGATAGGGTATGGTTTTTGTCTGGGATAGGGTATACGTTTTTTGTCTGGGATGAGTATGGTTTTTGTATGGGATAGGGTATGTTTTTGTCTGGGATAGGGTTACAATTCGGTCGTTTTTATTCTAACGGTTTTGGGTGGCTTTAGTCTGGAATACATTGCGCTTTCGGTCAACACACAAAAGGTCTGGGATAGTGTCAGGGTTTTGATGTCTTTGTGGCACACCCCTACATAATTTGGGTGGTAATATACCCCCTATTCAAATTGTTGAAATGTTAAATTCCGGTATTGCTTGGGGCTTGGGAGTCCATGGATTCAATTGACTAATGCATTGGTATATAATTACAATAAAAAAAGTAAACAAAAACTTTCATTTATCATGACAAACTAATAAAAATCTTCCTTAAATACCTGAAATCACCAAACTGAAAGTGAATTTGACCAACATACGTTGGCAAATTAGCACTTTGTTCACCAATTGCTATCACTTTTGTGTYCATTCTGCTACTGATCAACAAGGCCATGTTGTATTGCTCCCTACAGCTTTCTGAAGCCAAGTAATCTGGGCTGAGTAACAAAACAATCCAGGAACACTTCWCCAAAGTTTTATAAATYCCATCTTGCCACGATTCCTTGTTGTTGACTTCTTGAATATTGTTGGACACTCTTAAACCCTTTTCTTCAAGATAGTCCTTTAGTTTAATTGCGGTGCTATTGTCTGTATGACAATGTGATATGAATATATTGTTGTATGAATTGCCAGCATCCTTGAAAACGAAGAAAGAAAAATTAGCCAGTAAGAGAAWTCAAATGAAAAATGCAATAAACATWTTGAAKATTTAGGTCAGTGGMTGTAAATCACTACCTCCTCCTTGAAGCTTTCCTGCTCTGGTTCTTTTTCTACCACACAGTAATTCTCAAACAGATCAAACAGTGGTTGAAAGGCATGGTTCTCTTTATCTGGATATGTTGAGAAAGCCACAATTTTCAAGGTGCGTAAAGGCAGACCTGCCT